GTCTTCTCATTACGCTGTTTAAACTGCTCTGTAAGTTAGAAAAGATCTCAAAGACGCTTAGCAGGAAATCTGTATGTTCAAATTAAGTGACTTTTTAAGAAACTACTGAATAACATTAGGATCTGCAGGAATTTATGTCTCCTTGATTAACACAGAGAAACATTGTTTTTTTTATGTTTCATGATGTTGTTTTCAAAACAGCTTTCTTGATAGTGTATGTATGGCAAAAGCTTATGGATTCTATGCCTACATTTTTAAGCAGCTGCATTGTATAAGTCTCAGATAAAAACATTTACAATTCATCTAAATGTATAGAAATGTTTATGTGAACATGAAAGTTGTATTCAGATTGAGTTCTAGTTATGAAACTTTCAAATGATATATAGGATCATGCTACTAGAATATTAGATTTAAATTAACAGTCAAAGTACAAACCAACCAAATAAAACTTGTTTATTAAAGTGAATATGTATACACTTTTCAGGATCTCTAAGTCAGTATTACTGTAAATAAATACATACAAGGCATTTCAATAATTCTTCACTTTCACTGCTATAAACAAATGATTTAGTTAATAATTCGATAAAGCTTCCCACTCAATCACTAGCTACTTACTGATTTGTAGTATTAAAGATATGTTCTAAAAGGTAAATAACAGAAAACACGCATATTCGTATTTGTAAGTTGAACGAACTTAGCCCGTCACATACTTTCATATTTATTACTATCAGAACACAGGACTTAAATAGGAAGCTTCATGACTTATTCCATAATTTCCTGCATAATACCAGTAAATCCTTTAGGATCCACTAAAAGCTGAGTAATTTTTAGTTGCTTTATTCCAGATGTGTAGTGTGTGGAATCAATTACCTGCAGCGTTTCGACTATTAAAGTTATGATGTTTAGCTTTCTTGAAAAGGATTATAATTTTCGGTATCAGCATCGGTGTTTATAAAAGATTACATGTTCTGCAATGGCATAATCAAGTAACTGCTTTGTCAGTTTGACTGACTCTTCATATTACAGCTTTCCAGAAGGATTTAGAAGAAAATCACTTTCCTGAGACAGTTCACTTAGGAGCAATTAATCTTCACCCGTTGTGTTTTTCTATGGAAAACTGACGAATGTATAGACGAGCTGTACTCATTACAAATCGAGATTAGTTAGTAAACAAAGATTGGATGAGCGATTAAAAGTTTCTGCTACTATTGCCATTTAGACCTTCATGCCTTCAAATCTCCATTTGTTTGGTAACATTCACGTTGAGAAATTAGTGTTGTGAGGTGGTATAACTAAACACATGGATTGATAATATGTTAATTATTTGCTATCTTTATAGTCTAGTTTGATACTTCACACAATTGAGTAATTTTCCAACTACCGAATTTCACCATCAGCTGTTTTTTTCCTCCTCTGATTAAGCTTGTAGACAGTTATGTTTGAATTAACACTGGAAACATCAATGATGAACTCTGCCTACGGCAGTAAAATATTTGTTTAGTGTTTAGATATTACTGATATGACTAGAGAATCCTACCTGGGCTTCTTCTCACCCTTTATACTGTTCAGTAGCATGCTTGTAGTTCTTCACATTAATTCGTTAACTTTACTTCATGAGGGTTGAAAGTTGTGTGATGTGTTCGCCAATGTTCATATATGACAATAGTACACCTAAGCTAAATTTAAGAATATTCAAAGAAGCATATAGCCCACTGGACTGGATGACCAGTTTTACGGGATCCTTTCCAGTTCACAGGTGATTTTGGGTATTTGGGAATAACTATAGCACAGCTTGACCAATTTAGTCACTAGGAGGTAGTACATTAGCAGTGTTCTGTAGTAATATATTACTTAATAATTGTCCACGATCCTAGTGAACAGTTATGTGATCACGTTTAACCTTCCATGTTATTTATCAAAACTCACTAGATTATAGTAACTTTTGACAAGAAACTGATGTCGCAAAACAATTAACCAAAATTAACTTATCTTTTTAGGTCAGAAAATCAACATTCCAAAAATACATAGATTCAGTAGATATTCATATGACTTCTATCTGCTTTAAATTCGCAACCAGCTGTTCATAAATAAACTCTTAGTTTATTTACTTATGATCACGTGTTTCCTGTACACAAGTAGCTGTTTGATTTCATGACCTGAAATTCAGTTGATAAGTTGTTTCTAATACACTTGTCCTCTAGAGAGGTTGTTATCGCCTACAAAAGATTCAATCAATAAGTCCTATGCTATTCAATAAAATCATAACAATTGTGTGTCATTCCCCGGCCATGTATTCATCGACTCCATGAAGATCTCAACAAGTATGACTGATGATAAAAGTGATGAAATGTTTACAATTAAATACAATCAAGCTTCTAGGATAGTAGATAATTTTGTTAATCTTTTTGCAGAATTTTCTAATTTATCTTGAGTTGTGATTGTATCAGTCACTGCGGTGTTGAAGTGATCATATTTTTTTCTCAGAAAGCATTGTATGTCATGAGTATTCACTGTTTCATCATGTGTTTTCTTTCAATACATTAGTATGTTTTCTACAAATTGGTCTAATTTAATCAGATATCCACGGTTTGTTTAAATTTAACCGGTCAGATTATATCACATTTCTAGATGATTAACCTGGTATCCTTTTTTTCTGTAGTAAATTGTAAGGAACATAATAAGCACTTTGTTTATTTCGACCAGAATAAATTTAGTAAACTTGAAATCGGTAGTTGAGTGTTGATACTAAGATGAGCGTGTAAATTATCTCATGTAGATTACCTCATCTACAAACCTGAATAAAAGACAAAGAAAAAGTTGATAAGAAATTATTGATAAAAATAGGAGGTAGTATAGATTTAGGATAGTTGTTGGTATGTTATTAAAGTATGCTGTAACAAATGAAAACACCTTCTCAGTTCTTCACCTGAAACTGTTAAACATGCAACTTAGCGACAAATATTTCGTGCACTTGGCTGTACTTGCATGTCAATGAGTCACTCATTAAAGAGAGCGGAAGGTGACTAATGTCAATGCCTCATCTGATGGTAATTTGGTATTTTTGGGGAGGTTTGTGGATATAAGTTGGATAGAAGTAGTCGACAAAACACTCTGAACCTAGGTCTCATTCTTGACGACACTCATCAGCGTGAAGTATCTGCAACCTAGAAGGAACAGGTGTAGCCCATGAGGTTTGTGGCCGTGTCACCCCGTTCTACGGCCAGAAACGTCACCATTCAGTGATTCGCTCTGATTGGGTTTTATCACATAATAATATAACCTTGTAAGCCGTTGAAAATCAGGGAAAAATAGATAGTTATTTCTTCCTATTTCAGGACGTCTCAACTGTGCACTCTGACCACTTTATGTAGGAACGAGTCCACGAATGTCAAGTTTTGAGTCAAGCATGTTGGCATTTTAAGTGCTGAGTTCGAATGTGACGGCTCACGTTTGATAAGCATCGATTTAGAATATCCTATTATCATCAACCAATGTCATCCGTGAACCCTTATCTTCATACTTGAATTGACTACTGATGGATGAAGACAGTTACTCACGGATGACACTCGATGCTAGTAAAGCTTTTATGCCACTCTATATCCCTCATCTTTTGTGGTTCTATCTTTCATTATGATCTGGAAGGAAAACCATTTTGAGACCTAATACTGCACAATTCACGAGTAGTTAAATACAGCTTGTAAGACTGTAAATTGCGAAATTTAAAAATAATCCTTTAAGCCTGAAAGAGTAATTACTTATATTTTTTTATTGAACACCCATCAGGTATGAGTGGTAAAATTTATGATAACCAGAACATATACGACTATCCATTTTTCATATTTTCCCTCACCTTGTCTTTTTCTAACGTTTAATTTTCTCGAACATTTTACTAAACACATCGAACAACTGAAAACTAACCCATGTGGCTTTTAGTTCATTTTTCTTATCGCCAATACCCAAAGGGGTATTAGAAAGGTTGGACTTTGTTTGATGCACATGGTTCACTCGATAGTTTTTCGTTGATTTTTCAATGACTCTTATAAGGTATATTCAAAAAGTAATGAAATCAAATGTGAAAATACATTAATTTGCATGGATACTTCAGATATTTAATTGCATATTTTTAAACATGATCCCCTGGTATGCGAAATATTAGAAGACATGTCTTCAGTTGATGCATAGTCCAACGAAAAAGTATTTCAACAATATGAACACGTGGAATATAGTTGGAATGAGTAACGTAACTCTGTAGTGAACTATTTAGGATACGTACATTAGGTTGGATAATCAATAATAAGAACAACCTCCAAAAATGTGATGAAACTAAGCAAGTTTGGAATCGTAAAAGACAAAACGCGATTGCGGGGAAGAAAAACTTTCTTTCCGATGAAGTCTTCGCTAGAGCCCCATTTTATCTTTCCCTATGATCAAATAAGTTTAGAATTATAAAAAGTGATTGGTAGGGACGGAGGGGTAAGATGCCAGTTGTTTACTTAATAAGCTATTTGTTGGATGCCAGTAGGGTCGAAGTCATTCGCCGATTCTCATTTTACAGGACCGGAATAAACTTAGTGATTGGTGTTCGTTGATTGTTTTGATTTTTTCACTAAAACATAGATTCAGCGTTTCCTATCAAGGATTCAATGAATTATATACAATATATATAGTAATGATCACAAATAAGTGCCCTATTTTCGCTAGGATACTATGAATTCGATGCAGACATATGAATGTAACGGCAGAAATTGGGCTTTTCTTTGCTTGGAATATCCGTGGTGTAAGATATAAAGGTTTTTCAGAGATCGTTGAGAGGTTCAGGGTTTTTCTGAGAGATCTCGATGGAATTCTAGTGACTATCTTCGATGAGAATTGAAAACTGGTAAATGTTATCGGATATCCATTCAGTGATGACTATTGTCAAAAATCTTCTCAAGAAATCTTTTACTTCTGAGATATCATAATATCATAGTAAAGAAGTTTTTTCACATTTGATATTCAAGGTAACCGCTCCTCTATCATCCCATCAAGTCATGGAATGTAATACCACTGCACGGAGAATAATGGAAATCTTGGCCACGATTATAATCGCATTCAGTTTGATTGGATTAATAATATTAGTCGTTGTGTACATCCTAAGTATTAATGTTTCAGATATGGTAAGCCGTTATCAGTATTGGTGAGAATAATAATAATATTTGGAAGTTTAATTTTATGTAAATCACAGGTGATATTAATCCATATGTGTCGGATCAATGTAATAACAGTAGTTTTTTTATACACAAGGTTTTATCAAAGCAAGATTATGGTTAGTATCAGTTGCTCTTAGAAGAAAACCTCTATTCGGTTCTTATCGAAGAACAAAGTTTTTTGTATGCGAAGGTTCTATAGTGAATTGAAACATCCCCCGTCCTGTTTGTGAATGACAACTTAGAACTTTACACTTGGATGGTACGTTTTGTGCTTGTACTGACTTCAAATGATGGAAAATATTTTTTGGCTCAGGATGAGGATATCGGTGGCTCGGTGTTCTGTGAGCTTTGATATTTTGTCGTGAAAAGTTAGGCAGTGGCGTTGAGATGAGGCGCAGAGGATATTTTTGCAGTTGTTGTTCAATAACCTTCAGTTGTCTGCTGCTGAACGTCATGCGATATGACTCTGTCATTCACACAAGCTGTTACGAAGCCCTCGAATCGAGGTTGCTTTGCTGTCAAAGAACTTACAACGATGATATTGTTACAAAGAGAAATAGATGTCTACTGATCAGAGCAAATACTAAATAAATAAATGCTAACTCAGCAGATTGATTATTGACCTAAAAATAACATGACTGAATTTGTTTCGGAATGAATTCCCAGAAATCCTAGTGGAATGCCATGAACTATGTGGTCATTGAAATCACAGGTAAGAAGGGTGGCTCATCGATGCTATATCGCTAAATAATAAAAAATTAAAGAAGTAAACCGCTGCATTTTCAAGTAGATGGCTGAATAGTGACATATTCAGTCCCTCATATGGCAAAGGTTCTGATTTAAGTTGAAACAGTTGTCTAGATTTCTTAAGTTTTCAAGATATCCTCAGCTGATGTCACAACGCTGTGAAAACTCTTGTGAAACCTAACAGGATTAGTCAAACCAACACGACGATAGTTGCTCTCAGTCCACTGTCTTACTTCGATAGTAATCTGTTGCTAAATACAAACCAATATAATGATACATTCGGAATTCCTATGCTAGTCATACTGTATTGACAGGTTTTGCAGTAAAATCAGTTAGGCAGCATCACAGTGCACTGAACTGTTCGTTATATGGTGGAAAGAGACTATTAATGGAAAGCTTTTAGACCTAGGCCACCGTAGCTGTTCTCACTGTCTGTTTTAGACTTTCGAGAGTAAAGTCATTTTGGCAATGATCCAACTCTTTAAAAGCTGTTACGTCTGTGAGTTTCTATATCAGTGGAAGGATGCAACAGTAGCAAGTATAGTCTGAAAAAAAGATGCTCATGTTTTATATTGTGCATAAGCATCATTACCAAATAGTATACCGCTACGAATACTGTAGTATTATCGAAAGTGGTTCGTTGTTGATGCATGTTAGTGACTCGTTACAGCTAACTGCTAAAAGATCATTACTGGTCATATGATGAGCATATGAGGCTAGTATATCACTTTATTCAAACTCACCTTTTTCGTGAAATTATTACTCTTTGATCGCCTAAGACTTCTTTTTGAAACTTATTTGATTATAGTTAGATAAGTGTATTAATGTAGGCCTGATTTTCGTTGAATTATTCTTTTAAATAAACAAATATCTAAACATTTTCATAATTCCGCCTTGCAATTAATGACGATATCTCTAAATTTACACTTAAATGCTGTTGTTTCCTCTTTTTTTATACATAAACATTCTTTAGTTTTGTTTTCATTTGTATGCTTCCTTACTTAGTATTCAGTGGTGATTGACGCAGGATCAACGTCTTCTAAACTTCATCTGTATAAATGGATCGATGAACCATTCCGATCAAATGGCAAAGTCACTGAAGTGACCAATGAGAAAGTTTGTAAGTAAATAAACTTATCACGATTTTGTGTAATTGTAAATTCCACTTAGATTTTGAGCAGATATCTACTTCACTATTAACAATTTCTATACCTTAGCTCACTCTTTGAAATATGAAATCAGTAGACATCAATGTCAGACTTCACAGTTTGATGGATAAATTCATTCATCTGTCTACTCTCTATCTATCGTATCTGGAAGCTTTTATTCCCAGCCTTTTGTTCGTTGAAGGCTTGTTGGATTGAGAGGATCCTTACTAAAATATTTGTCTGTGGTACTACTTGCATAGCTCCAAACGCTTTACCTCAGCAAATAGTTTTTGCCTAGAATTAAAAGTTAGAAAGCGTTGACCTAGAACCTCAATCATTCTCAGTTAAATGTGAAATGATTTGAAATTACGAGGTTTAATTTCGCTTCCATTTTTGTCAGAGCATGTGACTGACTTTGCATATGGTTCTGATTCTCAACTAATCTAAATCCGTGTCACTATGTTCTGATGACTTTAATCAATAAAAGTATCCTCATAATTCATAGACAGTTCAACTAATGCAACTATACGTGTGATTATTAATCTTGCAGCTTTTAATAATTAACGAATATGAAGTAATTTATTTCGTTCTCAGAAAATAGTATGATAACCTTCAATCGACTATATAAATGATGCAATATAATAAGTAAAGGGTCAAAAGTAAGCTTATTTATAAGCATGATAACCAATATTGCAAAAACAAATTTTTAATAAAAAATCTTAGCACTTAAGACACTATAATGACTTGGTAAAATGTATCTGTTCAATTTTGAGATTTTTTATTTATCGGGTTATACATAACGACCTAAAAAAAGGCAGTTAGGCTTTATCTATAAGATAAAACTCCTTGTAAATAGGTGGTAATTAATTTATTTGCCATCTGGTATTAATAGGAATTATTTCTGAAGGAAGGTTATATCGTTAGAATCATCAATATAGTATAGATAATGGTACTCTTCAAGAATTTCAGTGAGAAAAGAATAACAAATGTGGCAGAATACAATGAGTTGACTGTATTTCACAGCCTTACTTCCATCCCCCTATGAGCCAATAAATAAACAGAATAAATGTTGACAAGTGATTTTCGGCTTGGTAAATTCATTTCATTAGAAGATGAAGAGGAGAATATTTTAGTATACAAAAATGAAACAGAAGATAGTCAAAATAATAAGCTATCTATAGACCTGTGGTGATAACCGTAGAACTCGAGTTAAAGTAAAAGCGTTCACCGGTTACGTAACATGTAAAGTGATTATGAGCATAAAATTACGATAAAGAAAATGAGTTTTCAAATAAACAAACTGTAATCATAAATATGACAAATTAAAATAGAAAGCAAATAATAAAATCATTAAAAGGTAACTGAAAGTAAGTGAATCTCTTTTTATACTTATAGGCCAGGTTTAAACCTTAAAAGTAAAATATCTTTTGGAAATCTAAGCAAATTTGAGTTTTTTTTTATCATTAATTACGTTGAAAGCCCTTTTCATGTCTATTTCATGGTCTGTTTCAAGTAACTAATGTTCGACCTGACTGTTGATGCTATTCAGCCTTTCGATGGATAGATTCTTTGGGGTGTATCCCAAGAAGTTAATGAGAACCTGTTTAATTCTTTTCCCAACATATCAGCTTTGATAAACATATGTAAACTCATAAACACGATGCAACGTGAAATAAGGCAGGTATTTGTTAACTTTCACCAAGATTACTGAAAATCACATCTCATACAAAAAACAAGCTTTTATCAGCGAAAGTACTTTTCAGCAGTGTTTATCCATCGATTACTCATACTTATGACTTGTTCTTCTCTGAGGAGAAGTTGAGTGACCAATGTTTTATTCTCAAGTCGACTTGATACAATCAAAAGGTAAATTATTTCTCATACGTCCTGGTAAACGATTGCAAATAACTACTTTTTTGAATCTATTTCTCGGCCGACGCGTATCGCCTCTTCAGTATATGTACTGAACTACGTTTTCTCATTTTGTATTGTAGTGTTCTCATCAGCATCATTTCATAAAACTATGAAAGTTAAGATGCTGCCCATTTCACGTCTCTTTTCAGTCAACAATTATCATTCTTATATACTGTACTTTCTACGACACATTGCAAGTTGAGCTGAACAGGATGCAGGTGGAAGAGATCTGACGACGCTATATCAAATAACCAGGTTACTATCTAAGAAGAGACCAACACAGACGAAACCAATGAAAGATAGTCAAGGAAACCTCGTTACCAAATAGGAGAATTAACTCATCCAGAAATACCACCTGCAGACACAGAACTACAAGTGAGCACAAGCCCACCGACAAAAGTCGAAGTCCTGAATGCCATAAGGCTACTGAAATGCGGAAAAGCAGCAGGACCAGATTGAATCCCACCAGAAGCACTGGAAACAGACGCAGGGATAACAGCGAACATGCCCACTATTGCAGAAGGTTTGGAAGGAAGGTAGGAAAGATACCTGCCAACTGACTGGAAGAAGGGCTACCTTGTCAAACTCCCAAAGAAGTGAGACCTAAGTGTTTGCAAGAACTGGTGTGGATTCATGTTCCTGTCCAACCCAAGCAAAATATTAAGCCGCATCATCCTGAAGAGACTAAACAAAATTACGACGGGAACAGGCTGGCTGGCTGGCTTCAGGAAGCACAAATCATGTGCGGATCAAACTGTAACGCTACGCCACGCATCATCATAGAACAGAGTATAGAATGGCAGTCGACACTACCTCAACTTCATTGATTTTGAAACGACCTTCAACAACCTCGACTGAAAAACAATTCTGCGGGCAGCTGCTTCAACACTACGGCTTTATTGCCACAAACCTTTACCAACCTCGTTTAACAGCAGCTATATGCTATATGATGCTACATGCCGAATTATTCACAATGGAAGTGAAGTTTGCACAGGAGAAAGACAAGGTTGCCGCATATTATCACCGATGATCTTCTGGATTGTGGTCGACTGGACTGGACTCGATCATGAAACCGACAACTATGAGGAGCAAGAAGATGAGCACACGCTGGAACGATGAGTAGAGCCTAGAAGATTCGGATTTTGCCGCCGATGATTGTTTCATGTCGCAAAAACTCGAAGATCTACAGGCAAAAACCCAACAAGTTGACAGAAGAGGCTGTGACTACGGGACTTCCTTCAGGTGAACGTGGAAAAGACAGAGGTGATGAAGATACCCAACCAACAACAACAACAACAACAACAAGCACCATCAATGGGGGAAATCTAAAGGAAGTAGTCCCATTCACCTACCTATCTAGGCAGCATCGTTACAACTACAGACGGCGGTACATATTAGGATATCAAAGTCAGGATCGGAAAAGCAAGACAGGCCCTCATTAATCTGAAATCAGTGTGGAGATCTACTGCACTGGACTGCACCGCACTCAACACAAAGCGTGAACAAGATCCGGATTTCCAACACTAATGTCAGTCAAGTCAGCACTTCCATGTGGTGGTTCAGAGACTTGGCGGCGCGTTACGAAAAGCATTTCCAACAAACTACAGACATTCATCAAGCAACAGCTGCCTCCTACACTCGCTCGATACTGAAGATCAGATGGCCAGAATAATAAGAATAAGCAACAAGGAACTCTAGCCAGCTGACAACGAACCAACCAAGAAGCTGTCACCCAACGAATATGCAGAAGAAAGTGGAGATGGATTGGGTATACACTGAGTAGACCACTCAGGGACATTAGACACCACACCAGGCCTTCGAGTGGAACCCAAATGGTGAACGACGAGTTGGACGTCCGAGGAGTGGATGACGTGTAGGAAATCATTTGCGGAAGAAATGGAAGCTTGTAGGCAATCGTGGAGCCAGGTTAAAAAAACTGCGGAGAACAGGGTGCTACAGGTGCCCTATGTTCCACTTGGAACCCAAAAAACAAATAATAATAATAATAATATATTGTACTAAACTTTGTTTAATTAAAGATTAAATATCCTTTACAAATGTATTACCTCAAGCTGGTCATAGATCATTTTCGATTATTTATAGACGGTGCATAAATATTTATGCTCTTTTATGGTTTAGTTAATTCAGTAGTATAAAATTAGGAAACAAACGAAAATTTAGGTGTTAAATATCACTGTACTTTTCATATTTTAACGCAAGTCTCCTGCCTACGATATCATGTGTTTCATGTTTAACCCATTATTTATTTTTCTAATTAACATCTGAATATGAAAGTTTATGTTTTGATGGATGTGTTCAAGAGTATTGGTCATTTCGAAGCTAAACAGTAGACGCTTCTGATAGAATCCTTAAAATTCCTGAATATGTTTGAACCCGTGTATTTTAAGTGTTGATATTTGGCTGCTTCAGTTTTTTCTGTTTGTACTTTACATAGTAAACTAATATTACATTATGAAAAATGGACTTTGCTGAAAACATTTTATCATTTACTTCTGAATATCTATTTATTCATGTCTTTTGTCACTTCTTGATTCCAACAAAAGATGACGATACTTTCATCATGTTCAGTAGCTTTTTGCTTGCTACCTTTAGATACTGAAATTAATGTCGTTAACGAAAGACAAAGGCTTATGCTGGAAATACAGACTCGCTTATTTTTTACATTCTTTAGACAACTGAAGATGTTTACTTACCTCAACTCAAAGGTGGGCACGAATTGATCACACTCCTACAAGTCATCATTATGCAGGGCCGACAGAAGATTACTGCTCCTTTTTAACCACGTGTTTGAACAGTAGTCATCCGGTAGTTCAACGACGCTTATATGTGCAGCTAAATAAAAGTAGAAAAACTACAGCTTCAAGAATAACAGGGATAACTCAACACCTACGGGAGCCAAACGTGCTTTAAGTAATCCAAAGCAATGAAGGACAGTGAGGTCATATAAGCAAGTACCACAGGTATTAGAGGACGGTGGTCGAAAATTGTTGTATAGGTGAGTTGTGCTAATGGCTAGTGTAATGAACTAGCTATAACA